ACCACAAAGGGTTTTTTAAAGCTGTTTTTCAGAATACGCTTGTGTTGACATGTTTGATTTCTTAACCGGAATTCGGACAAAGTTTGGTTGCACTCTTCAGTGGTTAATAAGAACGAGACAGGTTTAACTGTTAATAGTGTATTAACAGAGGCGGTTGCCAAACCAAAAACAAAAAGTGCTTAAGTGGGCGGTGCAGCTTGCTCTCCAAATATTTGTTTCCCCTTTTTCCAGCGAATGTGTATCACGGCTCCCTAACAAAAATATTTGTCCACTTTCTACAAAATGTTGATAGAAAATAATGTATAGAGGCTAAAAATATTTGAAAGAAAATGTATCCACTTTTGTATCCACTGTCCATAGTTTTTTAGCCGCTTTTTTCTGAAGCCATATTTCTTTTCTGAACAATTTCGGGCAATGTTTAGGGACGTTGAATCTTGTCAGATTTCGAATAGAGTTCTCATTGTTTGGTAATGGCTCGCCCGCAGTCAGTTTGAGGCTATGCAAATTGGTGTTTTTTTTATATTTGCCGGAAATCGGGAATTTGTACTATGCGGCGTGTGCTTCGCACTGTTATTATACTCTTATGACTGGTAATGATAGCGATGTCTTATTTATTTTTGCACTTCCTTCCCGTACCCGAGTCGGCGTGAAAGTGAATGTATCATACAGCATGTTCTCCGTGGAAAGGTTTTGTTAACTTGGTTCCGCTAACAATCTATTACGAAGTGTACGATATGCCGAAGCCCTTCATATTCATTAATTTTTGTGAGTATCGATCTCTTTCGTATAAAACATACAGAGCTTCTGAAGTAAATCATGTATACATAAATGTGACCCAATACGACCACTTCGGTCGTAGCGCCCAAGAGGGCGCTACGAGCGAAGTGGCTTTAGGGTGCCTACATGTCTGTCTCTCTGAGGGTGAAGTCATCCATTGTTGCCCTGAATGTGCCAGCGCGTGACGCTCTCGCGCACTCGGTACGCGACTTGGGCGGTAAAATGGCGTCTGTGCATTAGCCAAAGCTACGCGCTCGAGCGGAGTGACACCGGATTGCGCGCACTTCAAAATGCATAAAAAAAAACGACTGGGCGGAAAAATGGCTGAGATGTCTCCACTCAAGCAAGAGCGAGCGTGTGTATGAAGGCACTCTTAGTGGCTAGGATTAGCTGTTTTTTTTTTTTTGTTTTTTTGGCATGCGGAGGTACCAAAATATCACTCCGGTGGCCCTCCTCCTTTCTAGTACACTCTAGCTCAGTGCTGCGCTGTGCCGTCATGATCTTCCCAAGGGCTGCACGAGGCACCGACGCAACTTGCGCAATTTTGGAACATGAAGGGGCTTTAGGTCACTACCAACACTCTCAAGAAAAAAGGGTGTCAAAAGGTGTATCTTTACACCCTTTGTCCCATATAATACACCCCGAAATTTCAATTCGACGCACAGCGCCCTACAGTCGAACAGACGGCCCGAAATTTTACGAGGGGCTATGCTCGATAGCCGTGTGGTACAATATTTTAAATAGCTAAAGCACGTATTCAAGACCACATAAAGAAAACACCGAGTTTTTACAGTAGGGACAAGAAAACCCCGATTATTTTTCTTGTGGTCAGTAAAACGTACGTTAGCTATATTAATTAGTTGTACCACACGGCTATCAAGCCCCTCGTATAATTTCGGGCCGTCTGTTTGACTGTAGGGCGCTGTACGTCGAATTGAAATTTTGGGGTGTATTATATGGGACAAAGGGTGTAAGAATACACCTTTTGACACCCTTTTTTCTTGAGAGTGAACTCTATACTTACGACCACTGCATCTGAGCGCTTCCTATGGAAGAGCCTGCTCCCGGCTGAGGGCCGAGTTTTAGCGCCGCCTAGGGAGAAGCATTCTCACTAGGCAGCACCAAAACTCGGTTCTCTTCCCTCGTCTGGTTCTTCATCTGGTAAGACTCATTGCGAATTCCACTGGGCGTTCTGGAGCGCGCCGGGATCGGTTGACCAGATCCGGACTGGAGCACATGATCCGAACGGGGTCGCGCCGCCTACGGATCCCCAGTGAAACATGACCACTGCTCCGGGATCGGCGGATGCCTTCATGTCATTCAACTGCCTGGGAATCCCCTTTCCGCGGCCGCCGCAGTCGTTTCGAAGACGTTTTCGCAATGGCGGCGCTTACACGTGTTCGACGCACGAGCGGCAGGAATGGCTCAGGCGCTTCTCGCAAAGATTGCCGGAATGCCGCGGCAAATGCCTTCTCTCGTCCTTCCTGGAAAACCAACCGGCTGTCGAGCCAAGAGGTAAGCAAGCGGGCCATTACGAATTCTTCTGATGTCGAGACAATCTAGGAGCCCAGCCCGCGACGTGCTTCTTCTTCTTCTGAGGCGAGATGGGCGAGACCAGGGGAGATGCCCCACGAGAAAGGAAGTCACGTGTGTGCGCCGATGGCTGGCCCGGCTGGCTTCCGGTTGAATCCGCCGAAATCGTGGGAGTGACTTTTCTCGGATCCAGATCGAGATCTGGAGCGGGAGCTAATCCAAAACGACCAGTGAAACACGTCCTTCTCGATCCCGATCGCCCAGTGAAATAGGCTCGCCCCAGAAAAGTCGATCCCGGCGCGCTCCAAAACGACCAGTGGAATTCGCCATCAGTTTCTTAAGAAAGCTTCGCACTTATCGTAGTGTAAGAACGTCAGAAATGCATAGTCACAAAACCCCAAGACCAACACTGATGATAAGAGTACTATAAAAAGCAAAAACCTTGCTTCATGCGCAGCCCCTCTCTTCACAAGGGCCTGCGTTTGAAATTAATATTTTTTTTTAAGTTTTATCGCTGGGCCTAGGATTTCCGACATTAGTCTATAGACCTTTCCAGAAAAGGGCTGCTGGCCGGTTTCATTTTCAGTGTTCGTGCGTATCGCGCGTGATTTGCTCGCTTTCCGAAGCGACGCACACGCGCGTGCTGAGCTGTGGAGATCGCACGCTGAGCTGTGGATTTGTAAACATTGGAAAGGTCTATACAACGCTGTCAAAATTGCGCGTGGCTTCATCAATTGTTTCGTTCGCACGAGAACGCGTGAAAATGATCAAGGAGATCCTATGCTCCTATGCTCCTATGCTCGCACCGGCAGCTTTGACAGCGTTGTATATTAAAGGAGCGCTCATTGCAAGGGGACGAAGTAAACCAAAAAAACAACCGCATCTCCACGTGATGAGTGATGTTGATTGGGGCGAAGCTCTAGTGGTGCTTGTCTGCGTAGACGCTGAGCCGCAGCATGCTGAGCCGTTCGTTCGTTTTCATCCATGTCACGCTGCGGTCAAATGCTCAAATGCGTGTATAACAACGTTCCATACCACAAATTCTCTTTCTGACATGGATGAAAACGAACGAAAGGCTCGGCATGGCTGCGACTCACCGTCTACGCAAATAAGCACCACCAGAGCTTCGCCCTAATCAACATCATTCACCACGTGGAGATGCGGTTCTTACACGAGCACGGGAGCACGTGCTCACGTGCTCGTGGGCACGAGCACCCGACGCCGGACATCGGACGGACATACGGACATGGCTAGCCCCTTAGAAGCTTCGTCCCTAAAAATTGGGTTGTTAGTGTGTTTATACAGCCTAGAACTTGGTCTGCCTCAAGGGGCGACGAGTATCCCAGCTGTAGATGAGCAGTTTCTCCAGTGCAGTACAACCGCTAGCCTGGGGTGTTTAACGTGCATCACGCAGTACTGACACACGACCGCACGTCGGTACGATGAAGTGCTGCATCGAACTGCGTGCCGATTGTGGCGCGAGCCTCCTTTGAACTTCCCGTATTTTTTATAAGCGAGGCACGCACGTGCGTGCAGTGGGGCCGTGGCTTGTGCGTGGCCACTGGCACGGCCACTCGATTCCCCCTGTTGGTGCGGCCTGCCGATGTCTTTCCGCAAACTGAAGAGCGCGCGTGAGAGGAGAACTTCTCCCATTTGCCGTGAGGGCGCTGCACATCGGTGAGCGGTAAAGCCCCTCGATGTGTTTGCGCTTGTCTTGCAAGTAGCGTCAAATGCGCGAGTGCACGAGGCCCATGTCTCGAGCGGCCCTTGGAAGCAAATGGCGGCGCAGCACTGAAATGAGCGGGCCTTGGAAGCGAATGGCGGCGGAGCACCCGCTCCTCGCACGTGTCTCGCGCGCTTCCACAACAATGGTTGGCGGTACTTGTAAAAAACGCTTTCATCAAGGGGCTTTAGTGAGCGGTCTTGTGAGCTGAAAGCTATACTCTGTCTCACCTTATGTTGTACAGCAGGAAAGGCTGTAAGCGCGAGCTCCTTGCTCTGGGGCAGATCTTGGCGGGACAAGCTCTCGTGCAGTAAGGGCAGCTCTCAACGCTATGAGCTCGCGCTTGTAGCCTTCGCTGCGGTACAACATAAGGTGAGATGGAGTCCTAACGCGCTCTTGCTCCGCTACCCAGATAAAATATCTGCCTGTCATTGGCTTCGCCGATACCGAGGCACTGCTGCGGTTGCAGAAGGCAGCAAAACTCGCTTTCCCCCCACCTATGCACCGCTGTGCTCGGCGAAAATATTGTAGTGTCACTCTGCGCTCGCGTGTCTGGTTTGTGTTGGCGTTTTGGAAGCTGCCGGAAATATAAATGCGCGTTCTAGTTTTGAGTGCCAGACAGCGATGAAATGTGCCAACTCCACTCGTGAAACAGGAAATCCTGCAGTTGATGAAGTGCAATGAAGTCTCTTCCGAACTTGAGTTCGCACCACTGACTTACATGGCTGGCTACTTGGCCTTAGTTTTGCGAACAAAAGGTGACGATTTTTATTTCTAGAAATTGTCGTAATTTCAAAGTAATTAGTTGAAACATTCATCCTAGCAAAGCAATAAGAATTTCTCAGTGAAAGCAAGGAACGCGAATGTGTAGAACCCGCTAAACTTTGCAGGAGACTGTTGTGTATTTAATCTTTACATAATATATACATTACAGCATATAGCGGGCACAACCGACCGGGTTGGGGCCAGAGCAGTCGAACGTCTCGTGCCTGCGCGCGTGCACCAGTTCACCGGCATCCCTGGATATCCTCGGTTGCCAACACACAACATCCCTCCCCCCTAGGTCACATAGTCCTTTAGGTAGTCGGGACGTCGCCGTTGTCGCTGGGGACGATTTGACTGTTCTTGCGCAGGCGCTGAAGTTGGCAACACTGTTTGGTGCCTCGGTTCATGGGGTGAAGCAGGTGAACGTTGTGGGGAAGCTGGAGGTGTTGCCACTGGGGTTGACTCCTCAGGGAAGTCCGCTTGACTCGTAGATGGTGGGCACTCTTCCACCGATTCATTCCTAAGCGATGGCTCCCTTGGTAAGGAGAGCTGCTGAGGTGACAGCTCTGTCGTAGGCTCCTCCTCGTCCAGGTATGTGCTCCACTCCCGTCTCCGGATTTGGTCCACGTGCCGCTTCCAGAAACGACCGTCGATGGTGCGAACCTTGTAAGACACCGGACCGGTGATCTCAGTGATGATACCGGGTAGCCACTTGGGGCCTGCTAAATAATTGCGGATGAAGACTGGTTCTCGCGGCTCGAATTCGCGTACACCTTGTCTTCCCCGCAGCGCTTGTTCCTCTTGCTTGTCCACCATCTCTGCTTGTAGGTCTGGGTGAAGCCGGTCCAGTGCAGTACGGAGTCTCCGACCCATCAACAATTCCGCCGGACTCTTTCCGGTCGTTGAGTTCGGGAGAATATGCTGACTCAAAAGAAATCGGGCCAACTTGGTGGCCATGTCGCCTCCTTCCATGCGCCTGAGGACTTGTTTAGTTTCTTGGACCATGCGCTCCACTTGGCCATTTGACGATGGATGATATGGCGCCACCTTAACGTGCCGGATCTGGTTTCTCTGCAAAAATTCTTCAAATTCTTGTGAGACGAACGCTGTCCCATTGTCCGAGACTATAGTGTCGGGAACACCGTGTGTTGCGAACAGCACTCGCAGCCTTTGACACACTGCTGCTGACGACATGGATGCTATCTGGATGACTTCCAGCCATTTCGAATGCGCATCCACCACCAGAAGAAAAACCTTTCCTTGGAAGGGTCCTGCAAAATCGATGTGGATTCGGGACCATGGGTTTCTGGCAAATTCCCACGGATGCAGTCTTGCACGTGCAGGTTGCGGCCTTGTCTCCTGGCAGGGCAGGCAGGTTCGGACCTTCCTTTCGATATCTTGGTCGATACCCGGCCACCAAACTGTGCTTCTGGCAAGCGCCTTCATGCGGACGATCCCGGGATGCGTGGTATGCAGCAGCTCCAAAACCTGGTCTCTCGCTTGCTCTGGAATGATGACTCTACATCCCCACAGCAGGCATCCCCGATACTCCGACAACTCGTGCTGCCGTCGAACAAATGGCTTGAACTCGTCCGGCAGCCTGCCTTGAGGCCATCCAACCCCCGTCCAATGTCGAACTCTGGACAAGGTTGGGTCGTTCCGGGTGCATCGGGCAATCTTCTGGGCATCCCACGGAATCTCCGGCGCAGTCTCCAGCATCCGGACTTCAAAAAGTTTCTCGTCAGTTGAGCTGTCTTCCACAGTTAGAGGCAGTCGACTCAGTGCATCCGCGTTCCTGAGCTGATGAGCAGGCCTGTACTCCAGCTCGTAGTCGTAAGCCGACAACATTAACGACCATCGCAACATCCTAGGCGACAGCACTTGAGGCATCAGTTTTGCGTGATGCAAGAGTCCCAGTAGAGGTTTGTGATCGGTCACGATCCGAAAATGCCGACCGTAGATGAACTTGTGGAACTTTCGTATTCCAAAACCTATCGCCAGAGATCCCGGTCTGTCTGTGCGTAGTTCCTTTCGGCAGCTGTCATAGTTCGAGAGCCATAGGCTACCGGTACCTCCCGGCCTTCGCTATCAACGTGGCTGAGTACCACCCCAAGTCCGTACGTAGAGGCATCACATGCCATGACTAGTGGCTGGTGGACACTGTAATGGGCAAGGACGTCCGAAGACTGCAGTAGCTGCTTGGCCCGCAGAAAAGCCTCTGCTTCCTGCGTAGTCCATTTCCACTTATGGCCGTTGTCGAGCAGCCTGTACAAGGGCTCCAAAGTGTGTGCCGCTCCCCGTAGGAACTTGTTGTAGAAGTTGAGTGCCCCTAGGAACGCTTGCAACTCCTTCTTGCATTTTGGCTCGGGTGCCCCATGGATAGCCTTGACCTTGTCGTCTGTCGGCTGTATTCCTGCCTTGCTGACCTTGTATCCTAGGAATACAACTTCATCCACTCCAAAAACGCACTTGTCCCTTTTTAGCCGGACACCGTCGTCTTGAATTCTTTGAACCACAGCTTGCAGACGGGTGTTGTGCTCGGCTTCATCTTTACCGCCTACCAGGATGTCATCGAGAAAAACTTGCACCCCTTCCAGCCCTTGCAGCAGCTCTTCCATGTACCTCTGAAAAATAGCGACTGCAACAGCTACTCCGAACTGTAGGCGCGTGACACGGAAAAGTTCACGGTATGTGGTGATGGCGAGAAGGTCAGCTGTCTCACTGTCAACTGTCAGCTGCAGGTACGCTTGGTCTAAATCAAGCTTGGAAAACCTTGCACAGCCTGCCAGCTTCGCGAAAAGTTCCTCAGGTGTGGGTAGGGGGTAGCTTTCCCAACGGACCCCAGAGTTTACCGTACTCTTGTAGTCGCCACAGATTCGCACTGTGCCATCCTTTTTTACCACAGGTACTATTGGAGTCGCCCAACTGGAATGTCGGACCGGTTCCAAAATGCCTTGCCTGATGAGCTTGTCCAAGGCTTCATCCACTTTTGGTAGTAAGGCAAAGGGAACTGGACGCGGTTTGAAAAACTTGGGCTGGGCAGTCGGTTCCACTTCGACTCGAACTGGTGGTCCCTTGCTCTTGCCTAGACCTGGTTGGAAAACGTCGGCGTGACGACTCAGCACTGCTGCGCTGGACGGGCTCTGATTGCTCGTTGCTTCTTCCAGCTGATTGACTCTCAGCTCAATCCCAAGAGCCTTGAACCAGTCTCGGCCAAGCAAGCCTACGCCTGCTCCCTTGATCACGACGAGACGCAGTCGTTTTTGACGCCCTTTATAGGTGACTTGGACCATCACGGAGCCTAGCACCTTCAATTCCTGCTGGTTGTACGTGCGAAGACGTAGTTCACACGGTCGCAGCTTGTGCTTGGACAACCGCAGCTGACGCATAGTTCTCTCGTTGATCACGGAGCACACCGCTCCTGAGTCGACTTCCATCTCGAGAGGGTTCCCGTTCACTTCTACGACCACGCGGATAGCAGGTTCCTCGGCAGTCAATTGGAAGATGCCGAAAACATCCGCTGTTTCACTGTCGCGCCGCCGGCCGTTCTGGCGGCTGCCACCTGTAGGCCTAGGCGTAGGTGAGGACTGTTTCGCTTTTCGTCGACAAACTTTCACGATATGGCCCCGCTGCTTGCAAAGGTGGCACTGTGCGTGTCGAAAACGACACTCGTCTGGTGCGTGTGACCCTCCACAGCGAAAACACTTGCCAGCGTCTTGCTGTGACTTCGACGCAGTCCTTTCTCTTGCTGCCTCGGCATTAGGCTTAGATCTCGGAGCCATTTGCTTACCAACACGACACACATCGCTGCTCTCTGCGGACGCCCCCCTGATCTTTTCTGTCTGGTGGTGGGCGTACTCTGCTGCTATCGCCTTCTCTTTGGCCACCGCGAAGGTTAGTTCCGGCTCGGAGAGAAGCCGTCGCTGAAGGGACTCTTCCCGGAGGCCGCAGACTAACCTGTCTCGGAGCATGTCGTCCAACGTTGGCCCGAAAGCGCAGTGCTCCGACAGCCGACGAAGCTCGGCGATGTAGTCGGCGATACTTTCTCCTTGACGCTGGTCGCGCTTCCCGAACTGGAAACGCTGAACAATGGCGGACGGCCTCGGGTTGAAGTGGGCCGCCAGTCGCGAGACGATGTCGTCGTAGCTCGTCTCGGAAGGTAGAGCCGGTGAGCAGAGTGAACGAACGATGGCGTACGTTGCCGCCCCGCAGACCGTGCACAGGATTGCACGCTTCTTCTCGGCTGACTTGATCTCATTTGCGATAAAGTAGAACTCAAGTCTTTCGTGGTACAGTGGCCATGTTGCACCGGTGCTCGGTGCGAACTCTTCGATGCCGCCGAATGCCGGCGCCGCTGATGCCTTTGCTTCTGCCATGGCGCCGTGAACGGCGCTCTAGAAGGTCTTCCGCCGCAGGTTGACTCCACTTCGTCGCCAATGTTGTGTATTTAATCTTTACATAATATATACATTACAGCATACAGCGGGAACAACCGACCGGGTTGGGGCCAGAGCAGTCGAACGTCTCGTGCCTGCGCGCGTGCACCAGTTCACCAGCATCCCTGGATATCCTCGGTTGCCAACACACAACAGTGACGTTCCCTTAATGCAAGCGCAACTTAAGGGAAATGCATCACATGACGAAGCATATCAGTCCATGTTTAGTCTTGACCACGCAGGCCTCAGCTATCCATGACCTGAAGCTGTCTGGCTGTGCAAGCTCGTCTGCACCTTTGTCGAGAGGGCTCTACAGTCGGCAGAGATTCGTAGTTGTGGAAGGATTTGCAAGGTCCTCTCGAGTGCTGTGCTTCCACACCTTATAGACTGCCCGCTGATTTGATGTGTTAACTGCCTAGACCCCTACCACAGCGAAGAGCTCTGCGAGCTTTTTCTCAGAAAACTCCTCAGACCTTTTTTGGCAAACTGGGCTGGTGACCTAAACAGCCCACTAGAGAATATATTGAGGCTTTCGCGGAAGCATTCCCGAAAGGTACTCCGCTTGTGAACTATACGACTCCCTTGGTCTGTTTTTTGTGAACAATGAAGTTTATATTGCTGAAGTTATGCACGCGGAATCCGATTTTATATTGTCCTTCACAGATGAATGAATGGCAGAGCTCGCGCGTGCTCGAGCGTCGGTTAAAACCGGAAATCATACGGACTAGCTATATCCAACTATAACTCCTATATTACAGTGGTAATAGAAACGGGGCAACAGTTACGGGAACAAGAAAACAATTCGCTCATACTGCCAGCAGATTGGAGCTTTAACGCGCAGCCTGCAGCTGAGTGAGCTTTTCGCAGAAAGAATCATTTGCTTTTATTCTACACAGATTTGTCACATCATTCATGCAATCTGGCTCTCGTTTCAATTCAGACTTGCGGCTTCATGAAAAAAAAAAAATCTAAGTAGCCACACCGGGCCGGGCCGGGCCGGGCGTACTGCTCCTCTCTCACTATATTTCGTCTTACCTTAGCATGGTATATCCGCGAACGCTGTGCTAGCGCGAGTGGCTAGCCTTTACTGCCTTGACTGGAGCACTCGCTGCACGAGCGCTCATGCAGCCACCTAGGCTTCCTTCGAAGCAACTATCTCGCGCTTTTAGCACGCGCGGCTAACATGTAAATACTAACATGAAACGAAGTATAGAGTTCCTCGATATGCTCCCCCGAAAGGAACTCTTTCTCACCGATAACGAGCGCCATTGTTGGCGCTGCCGGGTAAAGTAGAACTATCTCTCTCACCGGCGGAGTGGGGCATACGGCAGGCCGCTCCCAAGGGGAGTTCTAATCGAGTGGCCATGCACGGTGTAAGATACACTCTTTAGTTGAGGACACGGCGGGGCTGAACGCGCGGCGCGAGGAATCAGATAGTGTTCGTTCGACGGACATCCGAAAGGCTGCATTACACTACAGTGTACTAGAACACTGTAATTATACCGCGGCCACCGTGCCCGCGGCTGACAGTGTCGCCGGCGGCCAAACGGCGAAACTGTGTGAGAGCAAAAAAAATGATCTCGTTGCCATGACACCCCGGTACACCGTGGCCTTTCTGCACGAACGACAACCTCGCTGGAGCTCTGCGCGTGTGGAGCATGAGGCGGCACGAGCCGTCTTTGCCGTGCCCACGGGTCGACGAGTCATCTGCCGGCGCCGCTTGAAACTACAGTGAGAGAGAGAGAGAGTGAAAAGCAAACTTTATCCAAACTTTATCTGCACTGCGCGAGGAGCGCGCTGTCCTCACCTGAAGAGTATTATCTTACACCGTGCCACTGGGTAATAAACGTTCTTTTTGGTTAGCCGTGTCCACCGTGGCCGTGACACGGAGTCACGGTGGAAAAAACACATTCTGTTTCGTATTTCTTCCACCGTGCACGCTGTCGGTCTATTTTTTTCGGGTGCCACCATAGAGTTATTACAATAAACGCCAGAGGTTCAGGTGGCACTAGTGTGCAGTTGCATTTCGAAGCAGACAGCAAACAGTCTAAATTTGATTTCCGGTGAGGCATTCCTATGGGAAAACGCAAATGCGTTTTCTCTTTACGCTCGATTATAAAAGCAAATTTTGCTTAGTATTTTGATAGAATAAAACGTTTAGAACGTTTTACCATCGGGTGTACAAAAATATGTGTCAAAGCGTTTTTTTTTTTTTTTTAGAATTTGCCATGAATTTTAAAAAGAAACGCTCTGACACAGCGCAGTGTACAATGCCATGTTGTACACTGCGCTAAAATAGCCCAATACGTGTTGACCTTGCAGACTGCTATGATATAGGCAGGTATTTACGTATATAGTCAATGCTACAAACCACACAGAAGGAATCAAATTGACAAAACACCAAAAGGATGCTAATATATGC